CTAATTTCGCAACTATAAAAAATGCCTTTTAACTACTGTAAACTCGTTGTTTTCAAAAAGATAGCGTCATTTGTAAGTTTAAAGGTTCTGTGAGTTCTGGAGAGGGAGCAATCGCAATTGCTCTAAAATCAATAGAGAAAAAGAAGAAAAAACTTGTTTTTTTTCTCTATCTCAAAATAGTTTGTTTTAGTAGAAATTAAGCATCATCATGAGTGGGATTTTTCTGCTTTTAATTTCTAATAGAGCTTCTTGAGCAAAGACTTTTGTGTTCGTAAAAACTGCTTGTTTGGGAAAAAATGCGTTTTAGAAATAATTTGATGCCAGCTAGTACTCAAAGGAAGCTAAAAATCCATGATGCGTGTGATTGGTCCTAAGCAGAAACACGCCTTTCCACTTATAAACGTACAAACCTTGTCTACATGCGCATTGTGCGACAAGCTGTGGGGCATCGTTTGCGGACGAGTTGTTCGGCACAGCGAAGCACAATTGAGCACATTTGGATGCGTGACACGGATGATCCTGTGAGTCTTCCGGAATCGGCTGATTCGATCGCGTACAAGCTACAAAATGTCATTGATTCTCATGCATTTTCCCAAGAATAACTCGTCCACTTACCTTTCAAACTGAAAATACTTCTCTCCTCTCCAGAGAATTCACGGATAACTCGTCCAGTGCCGCCATTGCGTTTGCTAATGCGTCGGATAGAATACGGACGCTGATGCACGTAGTACAAATGATCACCCATAACCGTCAATGCGACCGGGATTGGATTGTCCACAGGGAGGGCAACGACCTGAATAGGAAGTTTCAGATGTTCCTTAGGTTCTGCATCAATTAATATTCAGTGGGATACCTTTGATCCATCGAAATCCATGCAACTAATCATTTTTAGAAGCGTATCACCCCAGCAGAGACGATCCTGCTCGAAGTCGATGGCCATTTCGGATGGGCGTCCGAGTGTGGTGTTACGGATCATCACGCAATTGGCACCATCCATATGGCATCTGAAATCCCAACGTATGGGCTTAAAAGCGGAAAAAAGTGCCTGAGTTATTTAAAAATAATCTTTTTAGAATCGCGGAAAATTTACTAGAAAAATCACGTCTGTAGGTCTTCCTACCACCCAGTGAAAAATATAATTATTGATTTGTTTACCTG